AAGTAGGTGACCAGATGTTGGTTGCTTGTGCATTCATGCAAGTAGAATCTTCATTCATTTCCCCAAAATAATTTTTTTCTGGTTGCAAATATTTTTGAAGTAGTTGAGAACCACTGAAGAGTTTAAATATACATTATGAACATATTCTAATGATTTTGTACAGGTCATGTTTTTCTTACTTCTGCACAGCTCCCATACATAACTCTTAAAGTTCCCATTTTTTTCTCAAAATCCATGATCTATAAGAATGTTATAAATTTAACAGGCATTGTAATACTTCTAATGTTTGCAAAAACAGTTACTTTGTCAAAATCAAAAATAATTGTACTGTTTGTATGAAAGAGGCAGAAATATTTTTTTTCTTTTTTTCTGTGTTTTAATTGCAAGTTTGAAAAGAGGATGTGACATAGTATCACTTCTCGAAAGGATAAAATCAAAGTCTTTTACCTGCTATGAAAGAATAAGAGAAATCCATAAATAGCACATTATGACATGGTGGAGTGTGACACCTAGAGGCCATATGTTTAGGATCCATAAAGATTAACTTTTTTTCAGCTGCAAGTTTTGCAAGACACATTTAATTTTGGATTTAAGGAATGGAGCTGTCAGATTTTGAGAGATTAAGTTGACTGAAACATATTAATATTTTTTTAAGATTGTTCATTTTTATAATATTTTTTGTGGCTTCCCTAACTAGGGTCCTGAGCATTAATACAAAGAACAATAGTAGACCATTACCGAGTGTGGTGAGGAGTACTCAGTGCTTTGCAGCAAAGCCTAAAAGAGCCCTCTAGAGCTTATTCTAGCCTGAAGTTCTCAAAATCTAGTAAAATTCTTGCAGGACCCATGTTAAGAGAATCCTTTTAATATACTTGCATCTGTAGTAAAATATCTGTAGGAAGGTCAGGATCTCACAAAATGCAGAGCTAGAAGTTTTGGCTCATGACACATGTCAGGGAATAAAGAGAACAGAAGCTTTTTTGAGCTGTTATGTAGACTATTTAGATCATGGATCTTGTAAAACATATGTATATGTAAGGGAATGTACCACATCTTCCTGACTTCTCTAAAAGTTAGGGGTGCAACCATAACACTGCTTCCCATACAGGGAATATATATCCAAGGGCATCCTAAGATGATGAATGTGAACCAGATCAGTGTGTTACAAACTTAGAGTACTTTTCAGAAACGTGTGGTAGTGTATTATTCAATAGGTATTGGCAATAATAAACTCATTATAACTCTAGAACTCTTTTATGGGAGATAGTTGACTTACTCATCTTTGGCAGCACTTGTCATTTTCATACCTGAGTGAAGGCAAAAAGTCTTGTAGATAAATCAGAATGGGTAGACTTCAGATGATGACTCTGAATTTCCTATGCAAGAAATAAACCATTTTTCATTCTTTACAATTTGAGTGATTTTTATGGTACTCTAGTACTTGCACAACACAGATGGTTTAATGGGGTACAGTTGTAGAGTTTGTAAAACATATTCTATATATCTAGAAGAGTGGAGTGAAATTTCTCTAAAGATTTCTGGCTTCACCAGGCTGTGAAATTGAAGATGGATAAAAGTCATGCTGGACACACCTTTTCATTGAGTATTGTTGAATCTAGAAACAAATCTGTTGGATATATGTTGTACTCTCTGTTCACTCTTTGACTTTACTATATGTAGAAATACAACATATTCAGGATAGAAGATAAAATGATCTTGAGGTTTTTATTCATGGAATTTCATAAACAGAGAATATTGCTGACATGGGACTCCTTGCTAGCGAAGGAATACCAGCAGGGTGATTCTATTTGGCAGGCAGCTTTTCATACCCAATGTCTAAGAAATTTATATCTTGTTCTCATTTATCTTTCTATTAAATAAAAGGTATTGTATGTTTGTTTTGTCATACTCTAACTGTTTAATACTAGGAAACATGAACAAAGTAATTCCAATATTTTATGTCTAACTCTATTTTTATAAAGGTCTTTGCGGTTAGTTGTATTTTTTCCTAGAAAACTAAAAGGTGTTAACTTGTCAATCACTTGTGCAAGCAGTTTTCAGACTGCACATAGCTGCTGTGCCTCAAATAAATGATTATATCTGAATAACAGTCTACTGAGACTCGTAAGTCGGTGCTCCAAGATACAACACTGACACTATTATGTTAGTGATACAGATGCTGATGTTGATTGTAGTTTATTTCTATGCTTTGTCTAGAAGTTTCTTCTCAGAAGTACTTAACCATTTCTTTAGGAATGTCTAAGCCGTATAAACAACTGATAAATTATGATCATTAGTTATGTATTAGAAGATGAGTTGCCAGTGTGGGCTGGAAATAGTGGTTGCACTGTTAACTGGGAGGGAGGTTCTGCGTTTACTGTAGCAAATAAGGGGGCAAGAGCACATTGGATACACTAGGGTGGAAAAGGCTAGAGCAGCAGCTCCCTGGGTAAGGCATGCTGATAGCAGCTGAAGCTTGCAATCAGGGTATTTTGCTTCTTGTGTCTGAAGTCTAACTCCTGCAGTTAGGTTGGTGTGGGGGTGTCTCTGTCTGCAGGCATCAGCCTAATCTTTGCCCTGTGGTTTCACTGGCCTTTCTCTGCCTGATTAATAGAAGATTAGTTTATGTACTGCAGAGGTGAGCTAGTGGTTGCCAAAACCAGCGTGTCAGGAATTCTTTTTGTTTCTTTTCAGACACACAAATATATTTGCATAATAAATACTCCCTCCATATTTCTGAACAGTTTTAAATGCACCATAACTTCTTACCAAAAAAAAAAGGTGAAATTATTCTTTCATAGTTAATTGATTTTTGACAGAAAAACTGGTACAATCATAAAAAGTAGTGTGAAATTATTTTATTTTAATAATCTGTATTTTAGTGAAGTTTTGAAAGTATGTGGTCCTATAGTTGCATACATATAAGAAAATATTAGAGTGTTTGTATATGTGTGCTCACCCTCTCTCATGGTATTGCTTTGTTCTGCTGTCAAAACCCAGTTTGATTTATTGTGCCAACTACATGGATGATCTGTTCCCTAATGATGTTTCCAGATGATCTGAGTCACGTACAAAATATTTTCAGAGGCTTTCTTTACACATTCATAAAAATTGTAGGTGAAATACACTGTATTTAATAACTCTGAAAAGGGTACCTTTTCCCTTAGTCACTCCATAATCTTGATTTTTCCCCTGGTGGATAGCTCCATCTAAAAACCCAACATTTTTACTCTTTATTTTTCAAATGAATATATAAATTATATATGTTTTATTTTAAGTATGCAAGTCAGTACAGCTATTTTCAAAGATTTCCTGATGATTTTAAAACTTTTCTTAAGCCCTTAAATTCTTCAACTTATTTTTCATAAATTACGAAGCTCGCATTATTTTTATTAGGTCAGATATTCTCAAGTCCCTCTACATAACATGTGAAATAATGTGCACTTGACTAACCTAACCCCAAATTTACATCTGAAATTGTTATAATTCTATAAACTCAGAGAGCATTTTGATTTAAAGCCATATTCTGTCCAGTTCAAAAAAAGCAAAAACTGAAGGGGTTTCCATGCTTCCTAAAGTGAATATAGCATGATGTAGCAGAAGTGTATAAAATGAATTTCCAGAGGTGCTTTAGCTGAGGGTATAAGTTCTGCATCAGGATGCTATAAATTTGTTAAGATCATGGTTTTCTATGTCTCCCTTATCAACCTATAATCTCCTGATTGTTGCCTGTTTTTCAACAGCTGAGGAACAGTAATCCACACTTGCTTATCTCTCTTAATCACAGCCTCATGGTGCTAGAGCTCCCTGAGCCTTTAATTCCCTCTTAGAGGCATAACAGAGTGGAAAGTAAACAAAGACGAATTTGCAACCTTCAACATTGCTAATTTGCTCTGATGTCAGAATATTTAAACAGGCAAGGACTTGGGAATTATTTGATCATGGCTGATTTTAATCTAATGCATGTGAAAAGGCTGAGTCTGGGAAGGTTGTGCAAAATGACAGGCGTCCCAAGAGAGGTTGACTGAAGGTTTCTTCTTTAAACAATGGCTCCATCATTCTCAAACTCTGTGTCCTGTGTTCTTGCTGTGTGCTTTTGTAACTGTTTGCATTTTTAATTAAACTTTTTGAACATGACAGCAGTTTTCTTGAAAATTCCTCGTTTGCTTCCCAGTTTATAGGTGTCCAAAACCTGATCTTTAGGCTAGTTACTGCACCTTTTCACTGGCTAGTGTGTGGGAGAGATAAAGATCCCTATTTAAAAAGCATTGTCTCTCTCCACGTTTTGGTATCATCATGACAGCCTAATGTATCCTGAACACTTTCATATGTAAAACTCAGTGTATGTTTTAAAAATGATTGATATCTTGATCTTCACATTATTTTAAATTACACAGTTGACATTTATGCATGTATATATGTGTATATACTTGCTGGATAGGAAAGGATGTTGTCTTGCATTATATATTGCATGCACACTTCATCTACAACAGAGGTGATATGCTTACACATACGTACACGTTATCATATACATATATTCATCTGTCCTCACAGCAGATAGCTGTATGTTATTACCTGAAACAGATCTGATATGTAAGTCAAGATAGTGTTTTTTTTTTCTTTTTTCTTTCCTACATTTATTCCATTTCCCTTCATAAGGTCTTAATTATCTATTTAATACACAAGTAGTCACTTGTTTTTTGTTGTTTACAAAATGGTTAATGTAGCATACATATTGTTATCAGCACAAGTGTCTGATGCTCTCTTAATTAATATATATCGTCTTGGTTATATCTGTTCTGGTTGCATGACTTGTGTTTTGAAGCATGTCTGTTGATGATTTCTTCTTTTCTTCTTAGTATGTATCAGCTGGGATATTCCAGGGAGAGACGTGTCTGGAAAGCCAGCCTTTTGCAGTCGCTCTCTGCGTCGAGATTACAGCACTGGGCTATTTGTGTTTCTCCTCATCCCTGTTTCTCTCTGTCTCTCACTCTTTCCAGCTGGTGTAAATGACTGCTGCTGCCTCCCAGAGCAAGATAACCTGCTCAGTCAGCTGGAGCCCCCTGCGGACAGCTGTCTCGGTTTTAGCTGATGGAAAACTGCTACTAACCACTGAATGGAAGAGCGTGGAGCAGCAACCATACTAGCAGCAGCCGCCGCTGCAGCGGCAAGAGCGAGCGAGGACTCTATTGTTCCCTGGTGTTAAACAGTTTTTCCTTTTCAACTGCCATGCACAATAGTGGGACAGAGGTTTCCAGTCCCCTTCTCCCTGGGAAGAAATTCTGAAGAGTGGAATATTATTTGAAGAAGGATTCGTGGCTGTGCTGCAGGTTTTGGAGGTGGCAGCAGGCTCTTGGAGGCATGGGGTTGAGCGAGGGGAGCGCTGCTTTCTGCTGTGGTCCAGGGGTTTCCGCTGTGCCGGCCCGGTGTGTGGGAGTTCTTGTGCTTCTCCTGCTGGGAATCTGGGACGCTTGTGCTCAAAGTGAATCTCAAACTTCATCGGTGTATTTGTGGAAGACCGGTAAGTAAAGATGCTATGTTTACACAACAGCAGTATATTTATTTTTCTGTTGTAAGTAATAACCTTTTTGTGCAGTTTGTGTGTGTGGAGAGAGAAAGTTAAAACTAAATTACTAACGTTTACTTGTAGGATTATAGGAAAAAAATTTAGGTCATCTTCCAGGTTTCCACCAACCAAGCAAATATGGTAATTGTTACTGGGATCTCTTACATATTTACTGTGTCTTCTGAGGTTTTAAATTTTGTTTAGTATCTCTGTGTTGTATGTAAATAGCAAAGGTCTGGGCATTAGTGCCTGTCCACAATTGGAAGGAACATTTGTTACCATCGCAGTCAGCAACATTAACAATGCTCTAAAAATATTGACTTTTCACAAAGAAAGATGTAATTCAGCATGTCTAATCTTTGTGCTCTGTGCTGACATGTAATATATTCAGCGTGGTAATTGATGGGGAGTTGGGTTTGTTAAATTTAGTTTTGTTGCACAGTATATAGGATCCGTGAAAGCTAATGATGGATTAGGTGAAATAATCCAAGTGATTCCAGATCTCATAACTGAAGAGCCAAGGGCAAATTGGCTATGTGGATTCAGCACCACACTAGAGAGCTAATTTCCTCTACTTTGATACTAATGAGTTACGTGTCTGTTTTAAAGATTGCATAGTCATAACAGTGTTCCAACCTTAACTTTGCATTAAAAATCAGTGGGGAATTTTCCTGTGTCTATTAAAATATTACATTAATTCAGAACTTTAGCAGTGATGAATACGTGCATTTTAGTTGTCTGATACACTTTTAGTTCCAATGTAAGTAGAGTTGACGTCCCCTTTAGGAAATCTAAAAATTTCAAGCCAGTAAATATTTCATATTGGCTTCAGCAGTTAGCTTTCTTCCCTGTATGCTGCCAGGAATAAAATAATCCTAAAAGTGGTAGTTTAGTTTAAAAACTGCTTTTCTGTTAAAGGATAATATAGTAGTAAGAGAGAGTGTAAATTAATCATTTGTCTGAAAAACAACTTTGAGAAGACAGTCTTTTTCCTGGATGGAGGCCCCCAGCCTTCTGCCACAGAAGCAGATCAATTTACAATTACGGTGATATCCTGAATTTTTTAAGAGGCTCCATCTATCCACCAGCTCAGGGAGGAGATTAAATGGAAAATAATTTAAACAAGAAGACAAGCTTCCCAATAAAACTAGAAAGAGAAATCTGAAGAAGGGAAAATCATTTGTAACTTTCACTTCTCACTGAAAGATGGGCTGCACAATGACAGTTACCCATTATTTTCTTTTGAACCATTGACAAATTCAAAACATAGTTTTCAGTTCCATTACAGATTTGTAAATGTTCAGCACACTTAAAAAGAGTTAACACATGCATAAGTTTATGCAGAAGCACAGTGATAGTATAGCCTTTTCATAAATCATTTCATATTTATGCTAAGTTCTTAGAAATCAGTAGAATAAACTCTCTGGAATATTATAATAGCTCCATTTAACAGTTTGTATTTAAAAAATTTAAAATAGTAATGTAGGTTAAAAATAATAACAACTCTAGTTAACTAATATTTATAAATATGCACTGTCAATTTGCTATGGACTTAACTCTGCTTACTTTGAATGTAGTACACGTGCTCTGAAGTCACGTCAGTTAAATCGGCAAGAACAAAACTGGGTTGGCTTTTGTTTTCGCTCCCTTTTCTCACTTCCTGGCAAAGACAGTTCTTAAGGAACTTTTGTTTAGAACTGGTATGATCTAATGATGTTGTCTGATGAAGAGCTAGCTCTTCCCTTCAGCTTTCCTTCTGTGGCCTCTCTCTTCTGTTTTGCCTGAAATAAAGTATAGGATAAGCATGTTCACTGTACAGTTTTTAATATAACATCAGTGATTTGATGATACCATGATGAAAAACAAGTCAGAGTGGCTCTTTTCAAACAATGAATAGCAAGATGCAGTGAATAAGGTAGTGCATCTGTGGTTTTGGCTTCTAATAAACCTTCAATCTCTTTTTTCTTAGCTGTTTGTTGAATTTTGCGGTTTCCACCCTCCTCTCTGTGGGAGGTTCTAGAAAGTGAACTAGGAGAATTGCTGGTCAGTGAGCTGAAGGAGTATCTGGTATGAGGTGTTAAAGTTCATCTAAAGTATCAGAAGGAATAATAAAACTCAACAGTAGTGAGCTCATCCAACTCAGATGGTATTTTGCTTTTCCTTCTGTGGAGGAAATGGGACAGGGGAATATGTGGCTAAGACTGTGTCTATGAAGTCAGCTTGATTATATGCCTTTTGGGACCTATTATGTCTATTTTTTGAGAAACATGCTATTTTTATATTGAATTTAGTCTGGCATCAGCTTTTGTAAGTGTTGTTCACGGCTTGCATGTGTATAGTTTTTATTTCTAAAGATTTTTAAAATAATGTCTTGGTGTATGCTATTCCATGTCTCCTCTACTAGTTTACTGCACTATGTTTTCTTAAACATGCTCTTGACATTAATCTTCAGGGGCTATGAGGTTTGAGGTGAGACATTCTTTCTCCTATAAAACAACAATAGTGATATCTGGTACAGTTTCTTTTTTTTTTTTTTTTTTTTAGGGATGGGTATTTTGGTTTATGGGGTTTGGTTTTTTTGTTGTTTGTGGGGATGGGGGCAGGAGGGGAAAGGAGGTTGGGAGCATTCTTCTAATTCAAATTTCAACTGTTTACTTCCAACCTATGAAAACCTCTCAGGGGTCATGACTTTTCCTGTCCATTATCATCCTCTAGTGTTTTGAATGACATTTAGATGATCATAGTTGATCATAGTTACTAGTCTTTAAACTAGGTTTCTTGCCAAACATTCTCATTTCATACCATGCAGACCTGTTGTATGCATTTTTTTCAGATACAAATATATAGCTGGTTCATTTTCTGTGGTCACTGGGATTTCTTTAATATCAACTAAAGCAAAGTCTCCATCTGTGCAGAATACCTGGCACTTCACATCAGACTGATGAAACAGCTCAGTTCCCAAAGTTGAGTCAAGACATCTGTCTGCTTGATGATTTGAGGTAGAGAACAGCAGCTTTTAGCAAATTCTAGAACAGAAGTTGTGGTATTAAGGGGTGGTGACTCCACTGATGTGAGGTGGACACACACTGCCAAGCACTGGACTTTTGAAATTGAAAGAATTTTTCAATTACCTGTTTTGTTCATGAGTAATTAACGTTCTCAGAGTCTACTGATTTCTTTTGCAATGAACAGTTGTTTGATTCAGGTTCTACAGTGTTACACTGAACTTCTGTGAGTTCCTGAAATGTTTTAAATTTCATTCATATTCTACTTGACTATTATGAAGCCTTATTGAATTGTTTCTATATATGCATGAAAAAAAATAAAAATAAAATCTATGTGCCAAAGTTTAGTAAAACCTGATTAACTTTCGTTAAATGTTTTTCCTAGTTTCTTTTATTTTTAAAGTGAAATTTTCATGATCAAGAACAGCTTATAATCTTGTTTATACTGCCCACCATAGGCTAAAATTTTGATACATCTGTAAGTTTTGCAGTGAACAATGTGAGGACTAATGATTCCTACATAAAGACTATTATACAGTTATCATGCTTCCAAAACAGGAAGATACATATTTTTTGTGATCTGTCATTTCATGGTGCATATATATACAATTTCTATATACAGCTGACTAAGCGTAGGCATTTCTTGCCACATTAGAACTCTCCTTTACTTCTTTCTACCCTGTGCTTCATTTGTTTTCGTTAAATCAACTGACATGGTGATCTGTGATGTGCTGTCAGCGCTGGGTGTAATGCCTGCCTACAGTTACTAATATAATTACTGAAGAGCTGCACAAAATCAGCAAGGGTCGATCACACTGTAAAATTGCTTCTTCTGACAGTTTGAAGTAATGCACATTATACTCTTGAAGTGGAAGACACAGCATTGGATTGATATCTCTGGAACAAAAAAAATCATAAGAAAAAATCCGAGAGGCAGTGCCTTTACCATCATTATCTGTTTTAAAGACTATTGATCAGATCTCAGATAGTATAGATAAGTATAGCTCTGCTGAATTATTTGAGCTATCTGTAATTGTGTGATAGCAAGACTACTGTATAATAATCGCAGTTGGATCATTTCCCCTTCTTTTTAAGGAAGGCAGAACTTGAAATAGACTTTCTGTAGGTAAAAGTACCTTTTTAAAATTAAAGGAAAAAGTTTGTTTCCCAAAGAGAACATTTAAGTATTTATATTTTTATGCTCACGTTGTGTCTCCAATATGTGTAAATTGGTCCTTAGGTAATAACTTGGTCAATGTTTGAGGCAGTGGAGAATCAGATGAAAAGTGATATGGGTGTAGGAAGCACACAGAAGATCACATGTGCTCTTGGGGTAGTAGAAGCCCTGAGTGAAACCAGTATGCCAAGCTGTTTCCAGTGGCACCAGAGCACTGTTGCAATCTCTGCAGCCCAACAGCTCTCCTTAATCAATTTCTGAGCTTTTTCAGGCAGGAGCATCTCAACGTGGTTTCCTTGTTCTGTTGTCTTGGGAAGAGGACTGTGCAAGGTCCTCCTACTTCACCTGAAGAGCCTATAATTTTTTTTTTCATTGTTTCAAGGTGTTACTGTAGGACTTTGTAACCAAAACATGCTTCTTCACTGCTTGATAGGAACTTGGGTCTCAAGCCCCCTCTGATTTTCAACCTCTTGGTTTCCTACTTACCCACAGAGTCAAACAAACACAACCTCTGTATCATCATGTCCTAGTCAGGTTTCACAATTTTGACATGTTCCAAGGCCCAAATCTTTTTAAAAGAAGAGTTTGGTGTCACAAGCAGAATTGGAAAGAGGAGGGTTTCCAACACTTCATCTGAAACTTCATCTGAAATTTGTCTTTTAACACCTTTAGTCCTTATCAAAAATAAAATCACTGAATAAAATGTCCTTATTTTATTTTCCCTATTCACATCCCTAGGACTGTCCTTATTTGCACAGGGCAGAGTGTTCCTA